ACGGCCCCGAGACGTCGACGCCGCCGCCGAGCCGTCGGTCGTCGGTCGTCGGTCCTGGCGGGCAGCCGCGCGGCGGCGGCCTCTGGCCGTGGCTGCCGCGGCGGCGGGCCGCTGGGCGCGGCCGGCTCGGCGGGGGCGAAGCCGACGGAGTGGATCCTGCCGCGCCCCGCCAACGACGCCTCCGCCGAGCGCGAGCCGCCGGCACCGATTCGGCGGGGGCGAGGCTGACTGAGTGGATCCTGCCGCGCCGCCGACGACGCCGCCGCCGCCGCCGCCGCTGCCGCGCCCACGAGGCCGCCGCCGACCCAGACCCCCTCGCGTCGTGAGAGGACGAATGGTTTTGCTACTCCTGGCCTGTGAGGGGGCCGTGTGGGGTGGGGGTCCCAGGCCTCCCCCCCCGCGTGCCACGCACGATCGTGGCCGTTAGACTGGGCGGAGTGGCTTGGCCCGGGTACAGACCGTTACGCACCATCAGAAGCCTCCCAGGCGGGGTCCGAGCAGGTGGGGTCGGAGGATCGCGCCGCATCGCCGATGCATCGGCGCCATCAGCGTGCAGAATTTCTGGCCCCACATCGAGCCACATCGGCGATGCATCGGCGATGCGGCGCCATCCTCCGACCTCATCTGCAGGGAGCCCACAGAAGACGTACGCGACCAACTACGTACATGAGCACGGCCCCCCAATCCGCGGAACCAGCCTCGTGATACGAAACGCTCGCACAATGCGTCCTTTTATCAACATGGATTCATGTGCGTCTACAGGTCGGTCGGAAGAAGTGGGTACGCACACGAAGTAGGAACGCGGATAAAAAAGCAGATTGAGTTCAGGCCCTCCCAGGGAATAACAAAGCACAGCAGAAGCAGATCGAGTATTGAAGTAGGAAGGCGCTTGAAGTAGACTAGGATCTGGGAGTCCAAGAATATCTACCTGCTTTCGACGAGCGACGAGCACGCTCTCCTTTCTCTCCTGAACCTGCTCGGTGCTCGGGGGGCCCCGCCATCGCTCGGGCGCCCCCTCCCCGTGCACTGTTTGCTTCCGCGCGTGCTTCTTTCCTCGAGGCGACTTTTAGCCCGGGCGAAACAAACCCCGGAGCCCCCGGTCTGGCCCCGAGAGCGCCCGGGTGCGGGCGGCGCGCCAGGCGGGACAGGCGCGGAAGGAACCGACGAGCCCCCTCCGAACCCGCGCTGCTCCTCGCTTCCTCGCCTTGTGGCTGCACCCCCACCCCACCCCCGTGGTTTGGCATGGGGGAAGCGGGTCCTGGACCCCGGGGCCTCCCCCCAGCACGAGATCGTCACTCCGAGTCGTCGTCTGACGGCCCCGGGGCCCGCGGAGGGCCCTGGGACGCCGAGAACGGCGACAGAACTCAGGACCCGTTTCCCTCAGGACCGGCTTCCCCCAATGGCGATGGACCCCTCCCAGGGTCGAAACCGACTAGTTGTTCGAACCGCGTCCAGCCGCGGCAGACGAGGGGGCCACCTCCACGCCCTCCACAGCTTCTCTGTCGCCGGCCTCGCCGACAAAAAGCGCACGCGCCGAACGCTGGCTCCTCGCGCGGCCCTCGCTCCTCCCGCCCGCCCTCCTCCTCCCCCGTCCTCCTCCTCCTCCTCCTCCTCCTCCTCCTCCTCCTGCTGCCTCCTCGCCTCCTCCTCGAGTATGGGCGACATGCTCGATGTCGAACCCCCCAGCGCGGCACGATCGGCGGCAGCAGCAGCAGCAGCAGCAGCACGTACTGAGAGAGGTAGAAAGAGAGAGAGAGAGAGAGAGAGAGCTAAACGACATTCTTCAGTATGGGATGAGCTCTCCTCCTCCTCCTCCCCCTCCTCCTCCTCCTCCTCCTCCTCCTCCTCCTCCTCCTGCTCCTCCTCCTCCTCCTCTGGGGCCACCTGCAGACAATAGATGCCCGACTTAACACTACCCGCCCCTCGGTTGCCCCTCCCTCCCGCTCCCCTGGGCCAGCATCCCTCGCAGCAGATCCCCCCTCGGCCAGGTCTGTATGCTGTGCAGGCTGCTCAGCAGGTGTCCGACCTGGCCACTTGAGGTGGGGGTGGAATGGGGGGGAGAGGAGGGAGGAACGACGAGAGCACGTTGAGGCGTTATGATTGTGTGAACGTGCTCCCGGGTGTTCCGGTGGATGGTTATGGAGGAATCCTGCGAGAGAGGGACGGGGGAGAATGACGAGAGGGAGGCGGGGAGGGAAGTAGAGGGAAAGGGAGGGGAGGGGATTTGAGTATTTGAGTGTGGCGGAGACAAAGAATACACGTGGATGAGGGATAAACGGGAGGGTTAGGGACAGGGTGAGAGGGCCGGGATAATGGGAACTGGCTGAGGGGTGACGGGAGAAGGGGAGGGAAGAGGCATGATCAGAGAAACAGAAGGACCAGAGAGACGGGAAGTGAGCAGTCAGAAGGATGCAAGAGAGAGAGGGGGGAAGAGGCGAAGGGCAAGTCATGCTCGCTCGCGCTACATCTGACATGCATCCCATCCCACCCCCCTCCTTTTCTGCCCGTCGCGGGAAGCCGCGCCGACGACGGCGCAGGGCGGCAGCCGCATGGCCGATGCGTTGTCGAAGTACCGGCGATGCATCGGCGTAGATAAAATCGGCGATGCCTCGACCCCCCTCCTTTCCTGCCCGTCGTCATATATCCCATCCCTTCCTATTGCGCTGACCCCTTTTCTGCCCGTCGACTGGGGTGTCCTAGAGGACCTTGACGCCCGAGTGGCAGCTGCACAATTTGCCCGTCAACGGCTGCTTAGTCGGACAGGGGGGCAGTGGGAGCAGGGTGAGAAGCATGCGAGGGAAGAGTCAGGAGCAGGAGGCGGGGAGCGAAGGCGCAGACCCTCCTCCTCCTCCTCCTCCTCCTCCTCCTCCTCCTCCTCCTTCTGCTCATCCTCCTCCCTCCTCCCTCCTTCTCCTCCTCCCTCCCCCTTCCTCCACCTCCCTCCTCCTCCTCCTCCTCCTCCTCCTCCTCCTCCTCCTCCTCCTCCTCCTCCTCCTCCTCCTCCTCCTCCTCTCCTCCTCCTCCTCCTCCTCCTCCTCCCCCTCCTCCTCCTCCTCCTCCTCCTCCTCCTCCTCCTCCTCCTCCTCCCCCTCCCCCTCCACCTCCCTCCTCCTCCCTTCCCCCTCCTCCTCCCTCCTCCTCCCTCTTCCTCCCTCTTGCTCCCTTCTCCTCACTCCTCCTCCCTGCGATGGAGCAGGAAGGAGGAGCAACAGGAGCAGGATGAGTCAGGGATTGAGTTAGAAAGTTCGGTTAGTTTTCGTGTTGTGGACTTGTGTCCTTCGTTCTGCCTAGTTGCGCCTGTGGCTGCGAAACGAGATGAAAACGAACACGGCCCATGAAATCTCCAAACATGCAGTTCAGCCCGAGCCCTGGGATGACTAGGAACAGCAGGCGGATCAGCGGAGGGCTTAGGGTGGGAAAAGGGGGCGCGGCAAGAGCGAGGAACGAGGCGGATCCAGAAGCGAGGACCACGCTAGGGCGGGGCAGCTGTTCTGAACGACGGGGGCAAGGCACCGATCCTGTGATGTGGGCACCGCCGCAGCGAGAGCACCATGTCCTAAGGGCCAAGCACGCTCCAACTGAAGCAGACACATGTGCAACACCAACTGTTGGCATTCCACGTGCAACAAAACCATGGCGCCGGAGAGGCGAGGACACCGTTTTTGTTGTTCTTTTATCAGTGCGTACTGGTCTTGCTTCCGCAAACGGTGTTGGCACCTGCAGTCATTGTGCTACCAGAAGGACGCATACTAAGGACCGCGAGGGATCTTCTGGTCAAGGCGGGCCTGGGCCACAAGCGGGGCTCCACTGCGCAACATCTAAAACGAAGGCCCGAACAAACCCGAGCCCCCTCTCGAGCCGAACACGGTCTTTATCTTGACAACTTCACTGTATTAGGGGGAAAAGAAACCTACCTCGCTTTTGACCACCCTCGCTTCCAAGAGATACCTAACGATGCCAAATTGCAGCCTGTACTGGTCAGGCCGCTTGACGAGGAGGCGCGTGGTATGACTTGGTTTTGCCTGGAAGCGAAAGCGGGGTAGGTAATTCACGCTCTGATGTATGGGGCTCTGCCTTCAGCTCCTAAGTGGCTGGGTCGATGCTCCGAATGTTTACCCCCCGTCGCCCCCCGCCGCCTCGTGGCCGCCCCGTGCGCTGGCTGGGGGTTCCAGGCTCTCGACCTGCCGCTGTCCGCCGCCGCCTCTTGCCCTGGATCGGTGTCCTGGGTCGTCGCCCAGTCGCCGCCCGTCCCCTCCTCCTCCCCGCCTCCTCCTTCTCGTCCTCCTCTTCCTCCTCCTTCTCCCCCTCCTCCTCCTCCTCCTCCTCCTCCTCCTCCTCCTCCTCCTCCTCCTCCTCCCCCTCCTCCTCCTCCTCCTCCTCCTACTCCTCCTCCTCCTCCTCCTCCTCCTCCTCCTCCTCCTCCTCCTCCTCCTCCTCCTCCCCCTCCTCCTCCTTCTCCTCCTCCTCCTCCTCCTCCTCCTCCGTGGGCTGCCTGGGTGTCCTGGGTTGAGTGCGCCACACCACACAAGAGAGCGCACACCCGCCGCCGTGCCGTAGGCACGGAGCGGCGCGTCCCCAGGTCCACTTGAATCCTCTGCATTGGGAATCGCATCGCTCCTGGGACGCACGACCTCACCGTGGCACTCGGTAGTTGGCAGGATGGGCATGCTCATGGCTGGAAAGGTGAGTCGTACCGTCGCACCTGCGCCCCTGGAAACGGCATGGCAAGGCTGGACTCTCCCAGACCACTCTGTAAGACTCGAAACCTCGAAACAACAACATTCGCGTCCCTGACTGTCTGATTCTTGCACCCCCCGTCACAGGAGGCCGACCCGCGCGCGGCAAGGCGCAACGGAGGAGGGCCTGCTCCGGAAGCTCCGCAGCAACGCCGGCACGCCCGCCTGGCTCCGATCAAGGCCAAAGACCACCGCACGAACACTTGACTGTGCTTGCCTGCCGCTCCCGCTCTCGCCACCTCCTCCATCGCACTCTCGCCACGTGCACCGCTCCTTGACACAGCCTCGTTTGCCCATGGCACCCCTCGAGGAGACGGGGTCTGACTCGGCGCCATCTTGGCACGCAGAACACATTCCCCCGTCGGTTAACAGGAGGGCCCCCCCAGAGAACCCCCCCGAGACAACCTGTCCGACACGCGACCGGCCGTGGCGACGTCGGGCGCCCCACAACAGGCGGAACAGCCCCGCCCACCCCCTTTTGGGGGGCACCAAATCGCGCGAGAAGCATCGCCGCGGCGAGCAACCGTGCGACACCGCCTCCGACCGGGGGGGCGGGCAGAGTGGGCCCTGGAAACGGCAGGGCCGCTTTTTTCGCCGTTCCCGCAAAACTGTCTCTTTGAACATGGGAGCGGCAGAAAACGGTGACCGGACAAGGCAAGCAGAAAACTCGAGGCGTGGAGCCGGAGCCGGAGCCGGCAACAGAAACGGCGTCGGAAACGGCAAGAGAACGGCAACACGGAACCGGCAACAAAAACGGCCCTGTGGTTTCCAGGGCCCACCGGGGGGCATACCGGCTCCATTCGAGGGGGCTCATCTCATCATTGCTCCTCCAAGCTACATCCTCCTTCCTCTCTCCTCTCGCCCTGCCCCACTCAAATCCTCCGTCCGTCCTCCCTCGTCGCTCCTCCCGTGTCCGTCTGCTCTCCCTCTCGCGGAGGTCTTGCAATCTGCGTCGTGGCACGCTGCCAATCCATACAAGCGGTCGCAGCAAGTCGTCGTGCGGCATGCCCAGCCTGAATCAAGCCTCGGGATCCTTCGTGGTGTTCCCAGTCCTGGCGAACGGACTCGTTCGCTTGAACTTCCCCGATCAGGGCACATCGTTCCGTTGGTAGCGACACGATCCTGTGGCTCCAAGATTCGGAAACGGTGTCCTGGATAGCATAGTCAACGAGGGATCCACAAAGGGGGATTCTGGCTCGGGCGGCGGCCTAGACGGACCCTCCTGCTCCTCGTCGGACTGGCCCAACATTCCTCTCCGCGCAAAGCTCCTTGGCCTCCTCCCGTCCGTGCTGCAAAGGCCCCGAGGGGGGGCTCAGCCGCTCTCTCTCGCTCTCTCTCTCTCTCTCTCTCTCTTTCCCCGGCTCTCCCCTTCCGCCCCGTCTCTCCTCTCCGTCCGCGCATTTGCTCCGGCCTGGCGAGGTGGAGCGTCCATGACGCTCTGAGCGCCGAGGCCCCACCCTGCAGGGCCCGCGTGGGGTCCGCCCTTCTGCTCCGCCTGGCGCGGTGGAGCGCTCACGATGCTCAGCGTGCAGCTTTGGACGCCCGAAATGGGTACCGAAAAAATGGGTACAATGCCCAACAGCAAATGTTGTCCCAAACCAACAGCGGCCGCTGTTGGGCGGGCGGCCTCCTGTCTCGAATGGACACAGGCCGCGGCGGCGTGGACAGCGAGCCCTGTTCAAAATGAACAAGATCCGCTGTTTGGCATCGTACCCATTCTTTCAGTACTCCTTTCGGGCGTGCAGAGCAGCGGCGAGGCTCCGCCCTCGAGGGCCGGCGCGGCCCGCGCGGCTCCGAGGAGAGGCAGCCCGTGGGCCCGGCCGCCGCGCGCCCGGCGGGTCCTCGCGCCCCCGGCGGGTGCGCGCGCCTTTTGCTGCACGCCGCCCCGGCTGCCTTGTCCTGGCCCCACGCTGAGGTCGGGCCCGTCCCCCCTACAGACCGATTGTTTCCCGGGAAAAATGAGCAACGGTAAAGAACTACTCCCCAAATGGTAAGAACAACTCGTCCCCATGACTGTTCTTTGACTGTGTTTGAATTTTCCTCTTGCAGAGGGGCAAGCCCGATCCCCCCTACAGACCGATTGCTTCCAGGGAAAATGAGCAGCGGTAACGCAATGTTGCTTCGCTTTCTTCACAAACGTTGCGATCTTTTCAAACCTCGCCGGTGATGTCGGCCCGGCGCCTTGCCGGGGCAGGCGGACTTCCCGCCTCCCCACGGGCCGCTCTGCTCTGCTGCCCTGCTAAAGAAATGCTCTCAAAATGGTAAAAACAAATCGTCCCCATGACTATTTTTTGACCGTGCTTGGATTTTCCCCTCGTAGAGGGGCAAGCCCGACTTAGCCCTACGCGCGGAGGAAGACAAAACGGTATTAAACATACACTGGGGCTCGTGCTTTTCGTCTTCATTTTCGTTTTGTCTTCGTGCATCCTGCGTTCTGTTTTCGTTTCTGCCACTGCTGCGAAACAGCATCAAAACGAAACGGTCCACGAAATCTCGAAACCACCGTTTAGCTGGGAGATTGCGTTAAACATTCACTTTCGGAGGTCCGCGCGAATTTCTTGGATCTGAGCTGAGCCCCCTCCCTGGGCGGCGCCAGAGGCACCGCCAGGGGAGCGGCCATACGCCGATCCGAGGAATCCGCGCAGACCTCCGGGAGTCTGTGCTGTTGCCCCGGTTTCTCACTCAGTCTCTTCTAGGGCTCCCAACTTCGCGCTTCGCGCTCCGCGAAGCGCGAATAACTTCGCGCCCTCGCGCCGCCCCCCCAAAGGGAGAAAAGGAGGACGAGGAGGAGGGGGGAGAAGGAACGAGGACCGCGAAGCGCGAACAACTTCGCGCCCTCGCGGGAGCCCTTGCTCTTGCGCGCCGCTCTGCCTGCCTATCCTGGCCCGAATTCGCCGACGTGGGCGTTTTCATACTCGGCGTTTCGACGGTGGGCCGCAGGGGTGGACGGGGGGTGTCTGGCTCCGGACCTCTGCTTACTGCGACCGTTCTGTTCGCAGCAGTGCGCCCCATTGGGGGGGGGACTCCAGGCCTGAAGCGGGCGCCCAAAAACAGCCACCATCTTCTCCATCTCCATGGGGGGGCGCGGGGGGGGGGGGGAGGGGTGCGAGGGCCCACGCCAGTCTGCAAAACAATGGAATAAGAGAACGACCACGACTCGGTCTTCCCCGAAGCTTCGTCGTGAGCGGCCTCGGCCAGAAGCTCGGGTCAGGCCAAAGGGGGGGATAGCAAAGGGGGGGGGGTGAGAATCAGCTCACGTAGCTGATTTTCCCGGCGCCTCCCGGCGCCAGAGGCGGCTACGTGCTACGTATCGAGGAATGGGCCCCTCGGTGGGGCCGAAACCGGCTGCATGCAGCAAATTTCGTACCCCCCCCTTTCCCAATCCCCCCCTTCCGTCCGGCCCGAGAAGCGCGGCGTCCCTCGGCCGGGTCCGCGGGAGCCCCCCGCGCCGCGCCCCCCACGGCGGGTCGCGCGACCCTCCCAACGGGGGGCCTGCGGCGGGCGGGCCCCGGATGTGCTCCGCGGGGGCAGCGACAACGCATCGGCACCCAAACGTAGGCTCGTGGATGCCACGACAGCGGACACCCGAACAGTCCTTGGCGGCGCGCACAAGGGGGTGGGGGGAGGGGGGAGGGCTTCTTAGAAGCAGGCTGCTTCTTAGGAGGCGCCGGCCTCACATCTATAGATCAGGCCCGCGCCTTCCAGGGCAGCGACAACGAATCAGCACTCAAACATAGGTGACTATCTACCAGACCACCCCAACCCAACCCGAAGACGCGAACTTCGGGTTGGGGGGGGTAAGGGTTCCACGCGTGTTTTTTCGATGTTCCCCGCCCCGCCCCCCCCACTGGAAGTCGACAGTACATTTGAGCCTTCGGGTTGGCTTGGGGAGGTTTGGTGGGTGGTGAATAGGCTCGCGGATGCCACGACAGTGGACACCCGAGCAGTCCGATCCTTGAATTTCAAATGTGTTTAAACTGACGGAAACATGTTCTAAACATGTTTCAAACATGTTTTTAATGTTCAAAACATGATTTGGCAACATGCTTCCTCTCCATTGACCGTCCTCCACAAACATGGGTCCCCTGCGGGGTGCAGTCAGCCGAAGCAGATCCCTGGCGCAACTACCGATCTGGGCTCGGGCTACAGTAGGAGCTCGACCACAAGAAACCGTCAACGAGAAACACAACCCTGAGACCCCAGGATGTCCATTTATTTTTGGTATGAGGATGTGTGGCGCTGGCAGAAAGCCCCAGAAAGGGTCTCCAGCAACGCCGCTTCTCCGTCTCGGACGAGCCCTTCGGCACGCTCCTCTGTCTCAAGCAACGTTCTGTCGCGAGCTGTTTCAAGCGACGTGTCCGTCTCGGCACGAGCTGTTTCAAGTCACGCTCTGTCGCGAGCGAACGCGAAACGAAACCAGTTCCCCACATTCTGGAAACGCACGCGGTCATCATTCTCATGATCGTGGAATTCACAAGGAACTACCCGCCAACGTCAACAGCCATGTCACACACCGCGGCCACGAAGGGCCGCGCGCGCAGCGTCCCCGTGAAGTCCCAGCGAAGCCTCCTCGTCCGCAAAGCAGCCGCTCACGACGCATGTGCCTCCAGAACCACACGCCCAAACATGCGGCTTCTGGGCTGGAAGGTCTGAACCTCGGCCGTGCGACGCATGGCGCTCACTTGAGCGCCAACGCCGGCAGGAATAGAAGAGCAACTGAGCCCAGACTTCCGGAGCTCCGCGCGGACTCCTTGGCCCCCCCTCCCTGGCGCGCGGCGGCGCGCCAGAGGCGGCTCTCGGGGGTCCAGCGCCGATCCAGAGAAGGCAGATGGACTGGGCCGTGCGACCCTTGCTCTCGCCTCCCCTCCAACCTCCTCCTCCTCCTCCTCCTCCTCCTCCTCCTCCTCCTCCTCCTACTCATCATCCTCCTACTCCTCCTCCCCCTCTCCCTCCTCATCCTCCTCCTCCGCCTCCTCCTCCTCCTCCTTCTCCTCCCCTCCAACCTCCGCGCCGCCAGCGCCCACGGAATTCCGTGCGAGCTCCGTCCCGCAACGCGGGTGGCAGGCGCGGGGACCGACGCCCGGCGCGGAGCCCCCTCTCTTCTGGGACCTCTCCGGGAGCTGCGCGATGCGGCGCGCAGGCCCGCGGCGTGCGACGCGCCCGCTCCCCGACGGCGGCGCCGCTCGCGGGCGGCAGCGGCGTCGCGGAGAATCGCCTTGGGGCACGGCTCCCACCGAGCCCTTTCGCCACGTCGCGCGCAGGACGACGGCGGCGACGCCTGAGCACCTACACGGCAGAGGGCGACGACGGCGAGGAGGACGGCGGCGCCGGCTGCAGCGGCAACGGCGGACACGCCCAGGGCAGTGGCCCCGAGCTGCGGCCGCGGCTCCGCAGGCGGCAAGAGGGCACGCGCTCCTCCGCGGCACCGGCCCGCTGGCGGCGCGCGATCCCCTGTCGGCCCGGCTGCCGTGGGCGCCCCGCGCGGCCTGGGCGCTCGTTCCGGGCGGCCCGGGCACTCGTTTCGGGAGGCTCAGGCCGTTCACAACGTGTTTGACGAGCGAACAACACACACCCATACCCATCGGGGGGTCGGAGAGGGCGATGGGTGTGTGTTGTGAAGATGGGGGTCCCCGCTCGAACGGGACCGCCCTCCAGGGTACGACAACCCGCACCTAGACCCGACCCCCCATGGGTATAGTTGTCTGTGTGTGTGCGCTGCTCGTTCGTCAATGCGCCCAGCAGGATCGCAGGCCGACCTGCGCGCCATCGAGGAGGCGCGCGGAGGTCGCGCGCAGCGCGGTCGCTCGGAGCAGCGGGTCCCTCCGCGACGCTGCCCCTCTTGGTCGCCCGCCCGCCCCTGCCCGCCTTGCCCCGCCCGCCCTGCAGGCCGTGGCCATGAAGGGGGCAAGCCACACGGCATGACCACACACTTTCGGAGCTCTGCGCGGACCTCTCGACACGGCGCTGGGCCCCCGCGCCGATCTGAGAAATCCGCGCGGTGCCCCGGACGTCGCTTCCTGGAGGAACTCTCGAGACAAAGCTGCTGCCGAAGACGCCGTGCGCGCGCGGCAGCCAGAGCCCGATGCCGCGCTGACCACGGCCGCGCCAGGCTGACCCGCCGGATCTTGCCGTCTCCGTCACCGCGCTGCGACGGGGAATGGTGCGCGGCCTGCCGAGCAGAGCTGCGCCGGGGCGCACCGAACACGCCGACGACCAGGAGCTGCACCGGAGATATCTGCGGCTCTCGGCAGCAACAGTCGGGCCGAGCGCAGCAGGCGGAACGACCGCTTCCGAGCTACGCACTCGTGTCATGATCGCGCGCGCATCGAACACAGGCCCCAGGGCCCGGGAAGGAGCCCCTGACCGTGCCCAAAAGCTGCTGGAGCCCCTCCGCATTCCACGTGGCGCCCGGCGCGCATGTACAACTGACCTGTTGGGGCCGAATCTGCAGCGGGGATCAATGATGTGCTTCATTACATCGCGGTCCAGATAATTAACCCTACTTCCTGGCGGCGGCGGCGGGATCGGATCGGGCGGCCCGCCGAACAAATAGTCACGTAAAATTGCTGCGACGATGAACCAGCTGTGCGGTGCGATATCGCCTCAAATTGGGTCCATGGCACACAACACAGATCACGAAACTCATAGCTGTAGGGGTGCCGTGATTCAAACACGTTGTCGACGTCGTCCTCCTCCTCCTTCCTCCTGCTCATCCTTCCTCCTGCTCATCCTGCTCCTCCTTCCTTCCTGCTCCTCCTTCGTCGTCGACCTTCCTTCTCCTGCTCATCCTTCCTCCTGCTGTTGCTCCTGCAACCTGCTCCTCCTCCTGCTCATCCTTCCTCCTGCTCCTCCTTCGTCGTCGACCTTCCTCCTGCTCATCCTTCCTTTCATCTCCCATGTTCCCGTGCCTCGCCATCCTGCTGGGCTGGGTGCGGAGGCGGGTGGGGGGCGGGACCCGCAGCCACCGCCGCCGAAACGCCGAAACGCCTTCACAGGTGGAGCACATACTCCACACCGGCCCCGGCTCCCGCGGGGCGGCGCCGCTTCGGCCGGAGGCGAAACCCAGTCTCGCCAGTTCGGTGCAGGTGAAGACGGAAAAGGAAGAAGGTTCTAGAACAGGACAGAACACATAAGCACAGCGGGTTTGATTGGTTTTACGCCAGGAGGGGGCGTCGTTGAGAGGGTGCCTGGCACGGATGCGGGGATCGGGGCGGCGTCGGTGTTTGGAGCTGGCGGTTTGCGTGGCAAGTGCGTTTAACTGGCCGCATTTGTTCTGTAACGCGCGACGGGTGGAAAGGCCGCTCACCAGCAAAAGGCAGCCCTCTACCAGCGTGCCAGAACGGATCGTCGCGAGCTCGCAACCAGGTGTGGGAAAGGGGATTTGGAAGAGAACGCGAGTCTCCTTCCCAAGCTAGAGGGAAAAGAACTATGCACATGCACCGATTCTGGCCAGGCCCATCCTGAGCCCAGGATCGGTGCATACGCCCTCCTACCTTGGCCAGGAAGGCATATGCACCGATCCTGGGTCAAAAATGGGCCTTGCCAGGATCGGTGCATGTGCATAGTTCTCTTCGCCCGACAAGCAATCCCTTCGATAAGCAGCAAACAATTCTTTCTCTACTCATATGCCGCACGGCCAACCGAACGAACGAAGAACTGCCTCGGCGCGCAGTGCTAGCTTCGCTTGCGCGCGGAGGGCGTCTGGGGCGGCGCCGCGCGGACCCGAGAGAGTTTATGCGCTTGTGTCACTGCCCGTTCCCCGAACCCGTCCCCTCATTTGAAGGGGCCCCAGGACACACAAATAAATACACACAAATAAAAATACTCCCCATAGTTTCCCATATGTTTTGGATTTTCGTCTTCCCCCCCGAGGCGGCGCGTGGTATGACTTGGTTTTGCCTGGAAGCGAAAGCGGGGTAAGTAATCTACGCTCTGATTCTCGTCAGTTCGGTGCAGGTGAAGACGGAAAGGAAGAAAGTTCCAGAACAGGACAGAACACATAAGCACACAACGGGTTTGATTGGTTTTACGGCCGGGAGGGGGGCGTCGTCGAGAGGGTGCCCTGGCACGGATGCGGGGATCGGGGAGGCGTCGGTGTTTGGAGCTGGCGGTTTGCGTGGCAAGTGCGTTTAACTGGCCGCATTTGTTCTGTAACGCGGGACGGGTGGAAAGGCCGCTCACCGGCAAAAGGCAGTCCTCTACCAGCGTGCCAGAACGGATCGCCGCGAGCTCGCAACCAGGCGTGGGAAAGGGGATTTGGAAGAGAGCACGAGCCTCCTTCCCAAGCAATCCCTTCGATAAGCAGCAGACAATTATTTTCCTATTCATATGCCGCACGGCCAACCGAAGGAACGAACAACTGTCTCGGCGCGCAGTGCTAGCTTCGCTTGCGCGCGGAGGGCGTCTGGGGCGGCGCCGCGCGGACCCGAGAGAGTTTATGCGCTTGTGTACTACTACTACTACTACTACTACTACTACTACTACTACTACTACTACTACTACTACTACTACTACTACTACTACTACTACTACTACTACTACTACTACTACTACTACTACTACTACTACTACTACTACTACTACTACTACTACTACTACTACTACTACTACTACTACTACTACTACTACTACTACTACTACTACTACTACTACTACTACTACTACTACTACTACTACTACTACTACTACTACTACTACGACTACGACTACTACTACTACTACGACTACTACTACTACTACTACTACTACTACTACTACTACTACTACTACTACTACTACTACTACTACTACTACTACTACTACTACTACTACTACCTACTACGACTACTACTACTACGACTACTACGACTACTACGACTACTACGACTACTACGACGACTACTACTACTACTACTACTACTACTACTACTACTACTACTACTACTACTACTACGACTACTACTACGACTACTACGACTACTACTACGACTACGACTACGACTACGACTACTACTACTACTACTACTACTACTACTACTACTACTACTACTACTACTACTACTACTACTACTTCCACGCTGCCTCCCCCCCCAGGGCTCGAGCTGAACAGTGCTCTTCATGTTCGTTTTGGCTTCGTTGTCCTCCGCTCTGTCTTCGCTCTGCCCTGGCTGCGCGGCGAACTCAACACGGAAACCGTCCGCGAAGAATCGCCACACCGCCGCTCGGCCCGAGCCCTGCCGACCTCCCTCCCTCCCGCCCCCCTCCAACCCTCCGTCCTGCCCCCCTCCAACCCCGGCCGGGGGCAGCCGCCGTGGCCGCCGCGCCCGCTGCTGCCGGCGTCGCCTGGGCGGGCGTGGCCACCAGAAGAGGCATGCTCCGCCTCCCTCCCCTCCCTCCTCCCTCCCTCCCTCCCTCCTCCCTCCTCCTCCTCCTCCTCCCTCCTCCCTCCTCCCTCCCTCCTGGTTCCCTCCTTCTCCCTCCTCCCTCCTCCCTCTTCCTCCTCCCTCCTCCCTCCCCTCCCTCCCCCTCCCTCCCTCCCTCCTGGTTCCCTCCTCCCTCCCTCCTCCCTCCCTCCTCCCTCCTCCCTCCCGGCTCCTCCTCCTCCCCCCCCCGGGGTGCGACAGGCCGGCCGCCCCAGCATTCCTATAGGCCGGCTGTCCCAGCATGCCTATAGGCCCACCACGACATGTTCTTAGAACCCAAAAACATGATATAACAAATCCTTAGAACATCAGCCCGATATGTTAAAGCAAGAGTCCCAGCCAGAAATGCTCTAAGAACTTTTCGTGGAAATCACAAGGAGGGTTCTTAGAACACTGTTTGGCAGGCCACTGGGCGAGCCAAGGCGCTTCGCCACTGCTTGAACATCGAGAACCTCCGAGTTCCCGCCGGCGGGCCGTCCGTCTCTGCGGGGCCCGCCCGCCGCACCTCTCCCCGCGGACCCCCTTCGCGGTCGCGCGAGCGCCCTCCGGCGGCCGAGGGGGCGGCCGGACGGGGAGCGCCCCGGGCTCGCTGGAAGGGGGCAGCCCGGTCTCGGAAGGATTTCGGCGAGGGTGTTCGGGTGCGGAGGGCTGGCCCTCGAGGGCCGTTGTGACAGGCCTCTTAGATGTGTCCGAGTAGATGGGGTCGAAGGATCGCGCCGCATCGCCGATGCATCACCGATACATCGGCGATGCATCAACGATGCATCGGCGATGCGCCGGCGACGCCGGCGTGTAGAACATAGGCCTCCGCTCGGCGATGCATCGGTGATACAGCGCGATCCTCCGAATCCATCAGCTCCGATCCCATCTAGGAGGCCTGGAGTAGTAGGGCCGAGTGTAAGGATTCGTGCTTGTGCTGAGGGCCGTTGTCTCCCTTCGCGGTCGCGCTCCCAGTTGGGCACGGTGTGCCTATTGAGCAGAGACCAACCGTCTCAGCATTCCTATCAGCCTACCACGACATTCTAAAACCCAACAGTGTTCCAAGAACGCAAACACTGTGTTCTTAGAACATGAACCCGACTTATTAAAGCAAAACAGTCCCAGCCAGAAATGTTCTGAGAACATGTCGTGGGAACCGCAAGGAGGGTTCTTAGAACATCCGCTGGTAAGCCGATAGGCGAGCCAGGACGCCTCGCCACTGCTTGAGCCCAGGCGCAATGCGCAAACTCTGCCGCGCCCCGCCGCCATTGGATACATCTAGAACGTCGTGCGCGCACGCCGCCGCTGGCCAAAAAAACGGTAGCGCTCAGGGCAACGGGGGTGCTCAGGGTTGACGTGTGGCCGGCTGGAAGGATAGCGTCCATGGTTATCGGGAGCGGCCAAGAGGGGGGGTGTCCAAGAGGGGGGGGTGCAAATCATGACCGGCGGCACGTGCGCGGCCCGGCGGGGGGGCCAGGGACGTGATGAAAAAAGAAGAGGCGCCATGAAATCTGGGGAAATAGCATGGCCCACGCCATGATATCCATCCCCCCCTAGTCATCACCCCCCTCTTTTCCGCCCCCGAGGTTAGGGTCCGATGACAGGGAGATGGTTCGGCGGCGAGCGAGGGGGGGGATGCGAAAAGAGAGGGCCTTCTCAGCAGGTTCGGAGTCCCCCGGCCTTCGGAGAGAAAGTGTCCTGCGCCTGACCCGAAGACGCAGAAGACTTTGCAGCAGGCCGGCGGGCTGCTGAGGAAGCCCGGCCGCCTTCTGAGAAAGCCTTCTCCCTCTCACTTCCGCCCTCGCTCGCCGCCGAACGGTGTTAGGGTCAGGGTGGACATGTTAGGGCTAGGACGGTTGGGTTCGAATGTAGACGGGCGGGACGGAGAGTTGGGGCTTTCGGCGGCCGGGGCGAGGGCGTCAGGGTGCAGGGATGGGGCTCGGATGCACTTTTTAGGGTCAGGCAAGGCGTGGGGGTCTGAGGTGTTACGGTTTAGGGCGAGTGTTTAGTGTTAGGGACTCAGGATTTGGGATTCGGGCTAGGGTTTGCAGTCAGTGTTTATGGTGTTAGGTGTTAGGGCTTGGAGCTTAGAGTTTGAGGCTTAGAGGTAATGCGCATGGTTACGAGGTTATGCTCAGGTTGTTAGGGGTTCTGGTTCGGGTTCGTTCTTAGAGCCAGGGGGGTGGGGTAAAATTAGGGTGTCCAGGGGAAGGTGCCACCGACCTGCCCGTGGACGTGTCCAACTACAGCATGGTTGAACTACAGCAGGTGCTAAGGAACATGAAGAATGGGAAGGCAGCGGCCAAACGATGTCCCAGACTTTTGGAAAGTGGTGTCTCGAAATACGAATGCGTGCAAAATTTTGCTGGGCGGGTGTCAGAGGTAGCGGGAAGCAAGGACTACTCCCGACTAGTGGCGGCGAGCCAGTGTGATATTGCTTCCTACAACGGAGACGCAGCACTGCCCAGCAACTACCGCCCAATTGCTTTGCTGCCAGTGGGTGCAGAGAACGGGCTCTTCTGGGAGTCCCCTCGGGGGGACAATTTCACAACAAAAGAAATCTTGTATATACCGCCACGAAGGGAATCTCTTTGTACTCCCGTACAAAAGGAATTCCTTTGTATTCCGCTACAAAATAAATCCCTTTGTATTCCGCAACAAAGGGAATCCTTTTGTATTCCGCCACAAAGGAAATCCTTTTGTATTTCGCCACGAAAGGAATTCCTTTGTATTCCGCTACAATGGGAATCCCTTTGTATCCCGCTACAGAAGGAATCCCTTTGTACTCCGCCACAAAGGGAATCCTTTTGCATTCCGCCACAAAGGGAATCCTTTTGTATTCCGCCACCAAAGAAATCCTTTTGTATTCCGCCACAAAAGGAATCCCTTTGTATTCCGCCATAGAGGGAATCCCTTTGCATTCCGCCACAAAGGAATTCTTTGTTGTATTCCGCTACAAAAGCAATCCCTTTGTATTCCGCCACAAAGGGAATCCCTTTGTAGTCCGCCACAAAAGGAATCCTTTTGTATTCCGCCACAAAGGGAATCCCTTTGTATTCCGCCACAAAGGGAATCAGGTCGCATTCTTTCCACAAAAGAGAAGCAGTTTGTATCACGGTAATTAAAACAATTAGAAATGCTTCTAATTCAGCGGCCAGGGGACCAGAGGTTTTTTTTTTTTTTTTAAAAAAAAAAAAAATGTTTTTGAATTTTTTAATAGAAAAACAAGGTTTCGCTTGAGACTCCCGCCAAACTGTTTAAATCCAGCGGGCGTCGCTGGCGTGAAATTCCGAGGGAATCTCAAGCGAAACTTGTTTTTTTGGAAGAAAATAATTGCAAAATCAATGAAAAAACAGGTTTCGCTTGAGACTCCCTCGGAATTTC